GCTGTTAGGGCACCCCCAGGGGGCCAGCCTGGTCCAAGGGACCCACGGTGGGCATGCTGCAGTTCTGTACTCCCAGGGGGCCAGCCTGGTTGGCAGGGCTCTTGTAGCGCCTGGCTAGTACCTTGGGCTCTGTCATGGCGAAGCAGGAGCGGATCCTGCCCTCCAGCAGCGGCACCAGCCAGCGGGCCTTCTGCTCCTCGGTGCCGTATCGCACAAGAACTTCCATATTCCCCGTGTCTGGAGCGGAGCAGTTGAAGATCTGTAAAGAGGAAGCATGTGGTGATGAGGCCCATGTCCACCTGGAAGATGCCCAGGGACAGGACAGGACCTGTGTCCTGACCCGACAGAGAAATGCAGGTCCCAGGTGCCCTGCTTTGTATTTCTTGGGGCCTTGATGTTAACCTTTCAGTTATAGAATATTCTTGAAGATTCTAACTTGAAGACTATTTAATCCGATTTAAACTTGCCACCCAAGATCCCTGGTGGTTAGCATTTGCGTGGAGTATTGCCCCTGGCCTTTCAAACTCTGTGCTTAAGATCTATCTTTTGTAGCTACATAAACACTAATGCATCAAGTGGATTCAGAATGCCCGCAGCCCCCAAAACACAGCAGGACTGCCCTGGAGGACCGCTGAGCCAGTGGCCTGGGAGCAAACTGCCTTGGCTTTCCCTTACCAAGCAGCTGGCGGATTCAAAGGAGCAACCCTTCAGTCGGTGACAAATGCCTTAGACACAGCACCACCGGGGCCCCTGCAGACAGCCTAACCCTCAGTGCTGTCAGTCAAGCCCAAGTCCTGGAGGCCCTCCATGGCGTTTCTGAGGCTGGACGCCAATACAGAAGACTGCCTACCGCTCCTTGTGGAGCACCTGGTGGATTTGAACTGTTGACCTCTCGATGAGCAGTCCAACCAGCTGGGCCCCTTTAAGCAGCGTCCAGAACCCATCCTGATGCTGCCATCTGCCTGGTGCACTTAACCTACTTACACCCGTGGCATTGTGGGCAGGCAGGGACTGCCTGCTGCCACCCTGTCCTTCTGTCTCTGAACCAGTTCTGAGGGGGGCTGGTGGCACAGTGGTTAATGCACTTAGCCTTACATGGAATGGTCAGCGGGTCAAAGCCACTGGGTGCTCTGCGGGAGCAAGGCGACAGTCGGCCCCGGGAAGGTGGCAGCCTAGGCAAGCAAAGGGCAGCTCTTTGCCCACATGCTGCCTGGCCGTGACCTGGAGCGATCAGAAGCAGCAGGCCTGGCTCTGGTGGGTTCTCTGTGGTGTTGTGAATATAGATCTCAGAGCCCATGAAGCCTAGCCTTGGAGCTCCCCTTGAGAGGAGGGCCAGAAACAGTGACAAGGGGGACCAGAGACGAAGTAGGCACAGCTTGCCTGTCCCGTCGTGCCCTGAATCCCACCCCTGCTCCGGCCTGTCTGCAGCATATCTGAAAAAGCCAGCAGGAGCTCTGCTGACCAGGCAGGGAGACGCCAGGGGGCTCAGGACGGCACGGGAGAGGGTACCTCTGGAGCGTACACCGAGGAGCCCATGAGCTCGCACAAGTGCGCGTACTGCACGTTGGTCAGGCCAGCCCCGTACTTCTTCTCAGGATCGGTCTCCACGGGAAGGAAAAGGTTCCAGAGTCCTTCAGCCTTGGCCTTCTCCTATCACGGGAAAAAGACATCAGGGAGCTGCAGCGAACCGTGTCACTGGCCCAAAACACAACGGACGGAACCAGGCAAGCTGCCAGAGAGGTGCCTGCCGCATGGCCACAGCCGAGATGTGATGTTCATATGCTCGGCTCACTGAGGTGCCTCGGGAGAGAGGCCTGGAAATCCACATCGGAACCATCCACACTGGACACCCGGCAGGGCCCAGTTCTGCCCCAACATGTCCGACACCTGAGTGAAGGGGGCTGACCCTGGTGCCGCCCGAGTTCCCCAGCTGCAACCTCTACACCATTTTTTGGTAATTTGAGTGAAAATTTACAAACCATTTTGTTTCTTAATATTAATGACAATGAATTAACTGATGACAGGGTCTGCTGCCCCATCTCCTGGACATCAGCACTTCTGCACACTGGACAGAAGACCTGAGCATGCTTCCTTTACAAGGCAGAACCAGAGACAAACACACGCCCGTGTCCCAATCGTGAGCCTGCGTAGGTGACCAGCAAGTCCAGCGCAAGTCAACAGGCCAGCTGTCAGCCACGGCCACCCACGCCACCTGGGAGGCTCTGAGCGCCCCTCAGGGAGTTGCTGTGACGGCCTTGCCTGGCCAGACCAGGCTGCTCTGCATGGAAATCAAGTGATGCACATGGATGAAAAGAGGCCTGGAAGTGCAAACAGGAATCGGACGTTCTGGGAAGGGGCAAAGGGAGGAAGCTCGCAGTGAGCCCATGGCCGGTTCCTGAAGGGGGAACATCACAGGCTCCGAGGCCAGGGGCCTGGATGTGAGTCTAGCCCTCGCTGTGCCGTCTGAACAAATGCACCTCTTCACTTTTAAGTGGAGGTTCACCCTGCTGGTCGGCCAGGACCTGGGACCACACCAGCTGCCCTCCGGCGACTCCTAGTGACCTGCTGAGACAGAGCAGGGCTGCCCCACAGAGTAGCCTAGGCTGTGAGCTTTATCACAGAAGAGGGATTCACCGTCCTCCTTCTGAGCAGCTGGTGGGTTCAAACTGCTAACCTTGGGGTTAACATTACAAGTGTAACCGTTAGGAACCAGGAAGAGCACTGCAGATGCCCTGATGCCCTCTTTACTTATGGGTGGTCTCACAGTCGGAAAGAAACTCATGAGCCAGGACCTCCATCGTCTCCCCAGTCCCTTGGTCCTCTCCCCAGCCCCCCAATCCTCCTCCCCAGCCCCCCAGTTCACCCTCTACACCCCCCAACCTTCCCCTGGCCCCTCCACTCAGTGCTCAGCTCACCTTGAGCCCCTCTATCAGAGGGGAGGGTGTCCAGCGGCCTGCTGAGACCTGGTGGTCCCGCAGCACTTGCTCCATGGGGTACACATGCTGCTCCATGAACCCCTTCAGACGGCGGTACAGCTCTCTGACCGGTGCAGGCAGGCCCTCAGGGGAGATGACCAGAGCTCCCAGTGAGGCAGGAGTGGGGGAAGGCTCTGGAAAGGAGGAGTAGTGCCTGGCGCCTGTGATGTTTGGCAGGGTCCGAGGCCTGGCCTGGGTGTGAAAGGACCTGGACGACGGCTTTGTGGTTGGTGTCTGCTTGAAAACCCGGAACCCTTCTTTGATGGCAAAGTCCCACGCCAGGTTAGCCATGAACTCCACCAGCCTCCCGCTTTGCTCTGCACTCGCCGAGCTGGCTTGTCCTGCGAGGGGTCAAAGGCACACAGTTAACAGGTTACCACTGTCCAGTGGCAGTCCCAGCAGCAGCTAGCCCAGTGACTGGCTCGAGCCTCTAGAGGAGGACATGGTGCGAGACAGCGGGTCAGCGAGAAAGGGCAGGACCCTCCACGAACTGGACTAACGCAGTGGCTGCAGTAACGGCTCGAGTGTGGGCCAGAGCCGCTGCTGACCCCTGGTGGCCGCAGGAGGCAGACTCTTCAGTGAGAGGCCGTGAAGCGTTCCCTGGAGCCCCGTTGGTGGACTTTACTGGCAGCTGGAGAGCGAATAGCTGCACCACCATTTCTCCTTCCTACTGATGCCCCGTCAGCTCTGACCTGGCAACTGTCCAGGCCCGAGGCGAGCTGCCCCTGGGCTCCCCAAGCTGTAATCTTCCCGGGGTCCGGGCCCACATCTTCCTCCTGCCCAGCACCTCGTGGATTTCAGCCACTGACCATGTGCTTAGCACTGAGCCACTGGGACTCTTAAAGGGAAACCTGGCTGCTATCAAGTCAGCTCTGAGCCGTGGTCACTGGGGGAGCTTCTGGGGCAGCAGACGACCAAATCCTTCTTCAGAGGAGCGGACAGTGGATTTGAAGCGCCAACCTTCTGGCTTTCAGATCAACACATAACATACTATGCCAGCAGGGATCCAGGGGGCAACATCCATCCCAGGTTCATTATTCACTGAGTTCCTGTGAGTGTGCGCTTGGGGGCCCCGTGTTACACTCCTGAGTGCATGGAGGCCCCATGCTGCACCCACAAGCCAGTGCTCGGGGCCCCCCGTGCTGCACCTGTGAGCGAGTGCTCAGGACCCCCCCCCATGTTGCACCCGCAAGCCAGTGCTCAGGGGACCCTGTGCTGCACCTGCGAGCCAGTGCTGGGTGGGGGACGACCCTGTGCTGCACCTGCTAGTGCTTGGGGGGGGCCCTGTGCTGTACCTGTGAGCTAGTGCTCAGGTGTTGGCACCCCTCACCTGCGAGCCAGTGCTTGGGGGGGGACCCTGTGCTGTACCTGTGAGCTAGTGCTCAGGTGTTGGCACCCCTCACCTGCGAGCCAGTGCTCATGGGGGGGACACCCTGTGCTGCACCTGTGAGCTAGTGCTCAGGTGTTGGCACCCCTCACCTGCGAGCCAGTGCTCGGGGGGGGGGGAACACCCTGTGCTGCACCTGTGAGCTAGTGCTCAGGTGGTAGCACCCCTCACCTGCGAGCCAGTGCTCGGGGGGGGACACCCTGTGCTGCACCTGTGAGCTAGTGCTCAGGTGTTGGCGCCCCTCACCTGCAAGCCAGTGCTCGGGGGGGGACACCCTGTGCTGCACCTGTGAGCTAGTGCTCAGGTGGTGGCACCCCTCACCTGCGAGCCAGTGCTC